GAGATCATGGATAAAAATTATGGTTATTCTCAAAACAAGATCAATGGCGGAGACTTTTGTCTTGCAGATAGCGCAACCACGCATTCAATACTTCGAGATCGAAAGTATTTCTCGAATTTGGTACTTGCAAAAGTAAAGGTAACAACAATATCAGGACCATCAGATGTAATTGAAAGGCTCAGGAAAAGCCCAGATTATGTTACCAAATGGAACAATATTGTCTATAAAGAATGCATTATATGCTACTCGGTCCATTCGAAATTTGTTGAGTTTTAAAGACATACGTCTAAATGGATACCACCTTGAAACGAAAAGTGTAGAAAATGTGGAATATTTATGCATTACCTCCAATGATACCCAGAAGCGTATATTGGAGAAGTTGCATGGTTTATCGAGTGGATTGTATTGTACATACATAAAGACAGTTGAGGCATATACTGTCATGAACCAGAAGTTCATTGATTCAAAGGTTTACATGCTTTGGCATGACTGTCTAGGTCATCCAGGATCTACCATGATGCGTAGAATCATTACCAACTCTAATGGACATCCATTACTGAGCACACACATTAATGTCTCGAATGATAATCCTTGCAAGGCTTGTTCCCAAGGGAAGTTGGTAATTAGACCATCACAACTAAAGGTTGATGATGAATCCCCATCATTTTTGCAAAGAATTCAAGGGGATATTTGTGGACCTATTCAACCACCTTGTGGACCATTTCGATATTTTATGGTTTTGGTTGATGCATCTACCCGATGGTCACATGTTTGCCTATTGTCTACTCGAAATGTAGCTTTTGCGAGACTTCTTGCTCAGATAATTAAGTTGCGAGCACAGTTCCCAGATCATCCCATTAAGTCCATTCGACTTGATAACGCTGGTGAATTTACGTCTCAAACCTTTGATGATTACTGTATGGCACTGAGCATTAATGTTGAACACCCTGTTCCTCATGTCCATACTCAAAATGGTTTAGCAGAGGCATTTATCAAGCGGCTTCAATTAATAGCCCGCACTCTGCTCATGAAAACGAAATTGCCAGTTTCTACATGGGGACATGCCATATTACATGCTGCATCATTGGTTAGATTGAGACCCATAGCCAACCACCAATACTCATCAATACAACTCGTGTTTGGACATCAGCCAAAATATTTCACATTTACGAGTTTTTGGTTGTGCTGCTTATGTGCCTATTGCACCACCACAACGAACTAAAATGGGACCTCAGCGCAGATTGGGAATTTATGTGGGTTTTGATTCACCATCTATCATTAGATATTTGGAACCTTTGACTGGTGATGTGTTTACAGCTCGTTTTGCTGATTGTCATTTTGATGAGACAATTTTCCCGTCGTTAGGGGGAGAAAAGACCGTTCCAGAAGAACGACAAGAGCTAACATAGGTTGTTCCCACCTTATCTCATTTTGATCCAAGAAGCACTCAATGTGAAAACGAAGTGAAAAGAATCGTTCATCTTCAAGGTATTGCTAATCAAATGCCAGATGCATTTAATGATGCTTCGAAAGTGACACAGTCATATATACCGGCTGCAAACGCACCTGCAAGAATTGATGTCCCTGTTGGACAAAATAAAGTGGCAGCGAATGATTCATCCAGTGCACGCCTGAAGCGTGGTAGACCCCCAGGTTCAAAAGATTCAGCCCCTCGAAAGAGAAAGATGAGGGCCCAATTGAACCCAAATGATATCATTCAAGAAAAGGAATTGAATGATAAATCCACAATTCGTGACTCTGTATTTTCAGAAAAAGAAAATGTCCTTGATGAGACACATGTCCCTGAAGAGACAGAAGTACATGAAAGCAAAGAAATATCCATAAATTATGCATGTACTAATGAATTGTGGGATCGAAATGAAATAATCATCGATGACATGTTTGCATTTGCAATAGCCACTGAAATCATATTAAGTGATGATATTGAGCCACGCTCTGTTGATGAATGCAAACAGAGACAAGATTGGCCTAAGTGGAAAGATGCAATCCAGGCAGAATTAAAATCCTTGGAAAAACGAAGTGTTTTTGGACCAGTAGTCCAAACCCCGCCTGGTGTGAACCCCGTAGGTTATAAATGGGTATTCACAAGGAAACGTAACGAGAAAAACGAGATTGCAATATATAAAGCACGACTCGTTGCACAAGGTTTTTCACAAAGACCTGGAGTTGATTATGAAGAGACATACTCTCCTGTAATGGACGCAATTACGTTTCGTTACTTAATAAGTTTGGTGATTTCAGAAAAACTTGACATGCGACTTATGGATGTCATCACCGCGTATCTATATGGAGAATTAGATACTGACATATATATGAAAGTCCCAGAAGGACTTAAGTTGCCTGCAGCAACTAACAAACCACGGGGTATGTTCTCAATCAAATTAAGGCGATCACTATATGGGCTGAAACAATCTGGACGAATGTGGTATAATCGTCTTAGTGAGTATTTGATTAAAGAAGGATATGCCAACAATGTCATCTGCCCTTGTGTGTTCATTAAGAAATCAAATACTGGATTTGCTATAGTGGCAGTATATGTCGATGATATGAACTTAGTTGGAACCCCTGAAGAGCTCAACAAAACTGCTGAATATCTGAAAAGCGAATTTGAAATGAAAGACCTTGGGAAAACCAAATATTGTCTAGGTCTGCAGATCGAGCATTGTGTTAGTGGAATTTTGGTCCATCAATCAGCTTACATTGAAAAAATACTGAAGCGATTTGGCATGGACAAGGCTTATCCACTTAGCACCCCAATGGTCGTTCGTTCTTTGGACATTAAGAAAGATCCATTTCGTCCAAAAGAAGATGATGAACTGGTCCTTGGTCCAGAAGTACCATATTTGAGCGCAATAGGTGCTTTATTGTATTTAGCACAATGTACTAGACCAGATATAGCTTTTTCAGTTAACTTGTTAGCCAGGTACAGCTCTGCTCCAACAATTCGTCATTGGAAGGGAGTCAAAGATGTTCTACGATACCTTCGTGGGACAACAGATATGGGTCTCTTCTACTCAGACAAGCCCACAAATGAACAAAATCCTTGTTGGATACGCAGATGCTGGTTTTCTCTCCGATCCGCATAAAGCCCGCTCACAAAAAGGATATGTGTTCACTAATGGAGATACTGCAATTTCATGGCGATCAACAAAGCAAACGCTAGTTGCAACATCTTCCAATCATTTGGAAATAATTGCTTTACATGAAGCAAGTCGTGAATGTTCTTGGTTAAGATCAATGATCCATCACATCCGGAATTCATGTGGTCTACCTTCAAAGACAGACACTCCAACTGTCATCCATGAAGATAATGCAGCCTGTGTCGCCCAGATGAAGGAAGGATTTATCAAAGGTGATAAGACTAAACACATATCTCCAAGATTTTTCAGCGCACATGAGCTTCAGAAGGCTAAAGTTATTGAAGTCAGACAAATCCGTTCCAATGAAAATTTAGCAGACTTGTTCACCAAATCTCTACCAAAGTGCACATTTCAGAAGTGGGTACAGGGAATCGGATTACGTCGGCTTACAGATTTGAAGAATGCGGAATCAGGGGGAGATACAATTCAGGGGGAGCATCCATGATACATGCATGTTGTACTCTTTTTCCTTCGCTTAGGATTTTTCCCACTGGGTTTTTCCTAGGTTTTAACGAGGCAACCTAAGCATGCTCAACACCATCCGGGTAAAGTTGTACTCTTTTTCCTTCGCTATGGTTTTTTCCCACAGGATTTTTCCAAGCAAGGTTTTAATGAGGCAACTGATGTTGATATGTGGGCATCCAAGGGGGAGTGTTGTAAATAATGGGTATGTTTGCCCACATGTGTATAGTAATCTGTATAGTAAAGTATCACATGTGTATACTATATACTCATAAGCTAAATAGTAATGTTTTGTAATTTTTCATTGAAGTAGCTCTATAAATAGAGCACTTCAATTGTGCAAAGATTAGTGAATGAGAAGAAGAAAGAAAAGAGAAATATATCTAATAGCAATAATATACATTACTTCCTCTGCAACAGCTTGTGTCGGTATATTACTCTGCAACTGCTTCGTTCCTTCACCGAGTAAAGATTATCTCTCTATAAATTTTGCCTATTTATAACAAAATCTATTAAGTGTGGGCATAAAATCATGTTTCTATTCACTTTTTAAGTTAACGGCATATTGTGACTGAAAGATAACAATTTATTAAGTCTGCACTCAAAAACGAAGGTTACCCTACGGGTTTAAATAAGAAATCTAATTGTCTAATTATTAAAAGCCGATAACGATAATAGAGTTTGTGCTGACTTAAAGTTCAAATAGATTGAATTCGTGTTGTCATCCATTACATGTTATATACACGTCATGGCTATCATCCGTCACCCGCAAGAACCAATGATTACTAAAGTTCGACAACAATAATAGAGTATTGTGGACCGTCAAAAGAAAAAAAAAAAATTCTTGCGTTCTCTGATATTTCAAATATTTTAATCTTTAGATTATAAATTTTTGTATTTTCTAACGATTAAAATGTTTGTATTTTCTAAATAAAAAATCTAAACTTTCAAAACCTCAAAATTATGACTTAGTACTACGGTCTAATAATATTTATATTTACTTGTAAGTGAGAGATCTTAAATTCGATTCTCGTCAAAAGTAAATACGAATCACATTATTGCTAAGTCCATTCCTTCATTTTTAGTATAAATAATATTATTTGTTAAAAAAAAAACCTCAAAATATGAAGAGAACTTGAACGAAAAACTCTCGGTACTGTTCACTTTAACGAAAAATCACATTTTTACACTAAAAAGTCAATCATGGTACTATTCACTTTACCTTTTATTTTATCCTTATCGTTAAACTCAAAGTTTTACAACCTTTTTCATTAGTTTTCTAAATATGAAACCGGGCTATCTGAAAGTCCCAAAAGATAATCACCGCCCCCTACTTGTGTGCTTATATATCTATATATATTTCAATGAAATATCAAGCCCAAGAGTACAAGTTATAAGGTTTTTTTTTTATGTAGTCTTGGTGCATAAATCTCACTGATTACATAGTCAGACGCAGATGACACAGCTAGCTAGCTTTCACCAGAAAACAAAACAAGGTAGTATTCACTTTCTTCTCCATCTTTCCCAGCTAATTATACTATAGATTACAGAGTAAAAGCCATCAATTAATAATTTCTGGTTTCATATACTATACATATATATATATATATATATATGTATATATATCTCACAAATGGATTAATTCTTTGTATCTGATCAGCAGGATTTGAAGTCCTCCGATAGTCAAGTCCATCTCGATCGATCCGCGCGCATACGTTAATTTGAGTATGTGCTCCTGAATGATGATAGATTAATTATTGTCAAGTTCTTAGTTGATTTGGTTGTGCCCTCGATCTATATGTTTTGAACGTCAAGAAATGATGATGTTTTACGCCAAAAAATACTTTAAATGTTCTTAAAAACTTGATTTTTGTGAAACTAGATACACCAAAACCAGATCATATATGTGATGAATAGAGCAAAATATTAAGAAAACAAATTGAGTCTGTTATGGATAGTATTTTATATTAAATAAAGGCACAAGTTCTATAGGATCTAGAAGATTATTTCTCTGTTTGACTGTATTTCTTGGGGTTAAGTAAAGGGCACTATGAATTAGTATGAATAAAGGCACAAGTTTAAGGTTAAAACACACGTATCTCTTTCATGTTCCTTCTTATTTTATAATTTATTTCTCAACACATTTATCAGTAAGACAAACATGCTTTTGAAGCTGCACTATATAGTGAGAAATAATTCATCGAAAAATGGCGATCAATAGTTCCTCGCCTTAGACCATCTCCGAAGGGATTACCTCGATGAAAATCCTTTATGCGACTCATTTCCTGCTTTTATAGAGGAATTATCTTCTCGCTAAGGGGGTATTTTATTGTAGTATATGGAGTTTGCTGAATCAAATAGTCTGTGAAGGATCATCTCCCTATATTTCTTTATGAAACTTTTATAGTGATGATTATCATTTATTCACAATTATGTTTGTTCTAATTATATATGGCTTTCTTTGTAGATTCACCATTAGCAAGGGCAGCAGTGCTCTGTACTCGATTGGGGAGAGGTCACTTCAAGTTCAAAGTTTGGCCACGTCAACCGGGTAATTCTAAACTCAAATTCATGTTTCAAAGCCTTGATTATATAAACAATCACTATGAAGCATGAACACAATTTAATAATTTATAAAATTATATATCATATCGTGAATTTCTTGAATTATGGTGTTTGTGAGTTATGTGGAGTTACTGACCAAAAATCTGGAAATCAAATAAACAAACCCTAAACTCAAATTCTGCAAGAACTAAATCTCGAGTTGGGTATTAGACAAAGCCCAAACTATCAGCCCAGCGCTTGTGCTGAGCCGAATATACCGTGAGGTCGAGACATTGTCCCTAACGAACGGACACGCGAGATTCCGGTTGAATTTCGCCGGATTATGGAAATCCAGCACTCACGATGTTTTTCCCGCGCCGTCAGCCGCCTTCTCCCCATGCGACTAACGTCATAGTCCCCTCCCTCCTCAACGGCAGTCAAGGATTGGGCAGTGATGGTACCCTCAAGCCACCTGTTTTCTGCATCTGAGTCAGTAACGACGTTGATGTCGAGCCGGTTGGTCCTTCCCGCGTCACCCACCAACTACCGTTGGGCTTAGGCATGTTTTCCAACAAATTTTGAGACCTAAATTCATAAATGTCAGTTTTTATTAAAACTTTCAAATATAACAAAAATTCACATTAATCTATTTGGAAATCTTATCTGTATATGATGCTCATTAAGTAATTTTCAAAAAAAATTTCATGCTTCTATTTGACCAACCAAACACCATATGCAAATGAGATTTTTTTATGTTCTTTCTTTCTTTCACGTTCTTTTTCATTTTTGAGGGTTTTGATTATTCCCACATCCCAATCCAATAAGTTGATAGAATGAAAAGACATTCAGCCAAACAAATTGTCTAATTCATTTATTAATTGACAAACAACTACAATTGAATTGCATATTCTTGCATAATAATCCCATTGATATTCTGGAAATGTCATAACATACAACTTCTGCATACTTTCAAAATAGAATTTTTCAAGTATTAATTTGTATGGAAATCTCACAGTACACCGTTTCATAGCATTTTGTGTGTGTGTGTGTGTGTATCATCTTAATTTGGGGCACACACTTATAGATCGATCTAATGATTTTTCCATAGCTCTTATCAATTCTAATAAATCAAATTGTTGTGGCTAACTCATTATGAGATTTAGTCCATAATTTAGCAAAGTTATGAATGCGGTTTCGTCCAAAAAAAATAGAAGTTATGAATGCGGTTATGGAGGAAAAAGTCACCAACTAAGGCTGGGACGGAGGTGGCGCCCGACCCCGCCCCGTTGTCATCCTAATGTTTTGGAGAAACAGATTAATAAACCTTAGTGCACACCCTGTAGAAAAGAGTAATAAAACGGATGTAAAGTTAATTGGACAGGGTTCTCAACGACTGGGTGTTGAAAAACTAAAAAAAACAATGAAAGATACGTTTTATGCTGTTCGGTTTTATTGGTAAAGGTAGATTAGTATTATAAGAAAAACTGGGAGGACAAATTTGGCATACAACCGATGATTCCCATACGGAGTCTGATTCCTCCATGTCGTTAAACAAATAGTTTTATTTATTTATTTATTTTTTTAATTTTTTTAATTTTAAACAAATGATATTATTTACACTAATGAAAATTAATAAATATTTAATCTCATAATAAACCATTAATAATATAGTTCAAATTCGTATTTAACGAGAATTGAACCTAAAACCTTTCATTTACAAATAAAAAAGAATAATACTATATCGTAATATTAAATCACAAATAATGTTAATACCAAATTCATTTTTCTTTTTCTTTTCTCCATCTTGTTCCCCGTCATCCTTGCTCCCTGATACTCTTCTTCCCATCCCCCAATTCTTTCAACTTCCCCATCTCTTTTCTCCATCTACTTCTCATCTCTCTCTCTCCAACAACATAGCCACCGTAATATATCCCACAGCCACCATAACAGTAGATCCGGAGTGTCTATTCAATGCCGATTGTGCACCAAACGAGTTCCAAATCCGGTCTTCGCCAACGACAACCTATTCTTCACCAACTGCAGCTTCGAAACCCATCTTGACAAAATCATCCTGAACCCGTGCAGCTTGAGGCCCATCTCGCCGATTGACGAGATTGAGCTGGTGAATGTTCAAGGGAGTCGATAGACTCGGCTGAAAGGTAGAAGGAACAGGAGTGGTGGGTAGAAAAGTTGGATTTCTGGAGGAGGCTTATCCCAGAATACAAATACCCCCTGTGGAATTTAATTCCTAATTTTGTGTGGACCTCACCTTATTTCCAATTACTGAAATATTAATAAACGCTTGAATGTTTCGAAAAAAAGTGCAATTCCGTTGCTTCGTATTTCACTTGGGTTTCGTAAACATACCCTTACATTATGTTTAGATGAAAAAATAAACTTCAAGTTTTGATAGAAATCAAAGTTTATAAATTAACATGAACAAATTTCCTTGCTTAGATTCATAGACATAGAAATTTAGAATTTCTGCATAGAATTTTTTTTTAAAATTCTCAGGTTTAAATTCCATATAAATATGTGTCATTTCCAGATTTCTACGGATGAGAGTTTAAAAATAACAAATTCCATATTCGAATTTTATTGTTGTTTTAGATTAACTAAACAAAAAAACTAAAAAATTCTAAAAAATAAAATTTCATCATTTCAATTTTCATTATTTTGAAATTTTTTAATATTTCCTCGTTCAAATAAAGTAAGAGTAAACTAGCCAATAGCCCGTCTTTAAGCTCTGCTCCTTCTGCGCCTTCAGTCAAGTCTCGGCATTGTGCATCGCTGCCCAAATTCGTTTCAAACTTGGGTTCCTTATTGGGCCAGAAGCCCAACCCGTTTTTCAAGTTTTTCTCGGGCTATATTTTTTCCACCTTAGCCCAGCATGCATACTTCGAGTCAACAATGGCAAAATTCAACTTCACGGGATATAAGATGTGAAGCTCCACTTCACGGGACTTATTCTAATATGGATTTTATCTAGTTTTAATTCTCTTAAATAATAGTATCATAAATATAATATAACTAAGAGCGAAATGTGTAAAAATGTAACAGATCGATGACGATGCTGGTAGAAGCTCTGGTTCAGGCCGTAACAGCACAAGTGGTCCGTGCTGTGGTGCAGGAAGCTCGGTTCGTTTTTAAATTCAAAAATGAGCTTGAGCAGATGGAAAAATGGCTTGGAAAAATGAGATGCTTAGTTGTCGACGCAGATAAGAAACTGAAACTGTCGTCTGATCAGGAAACGGTCAAGAAATATTTGAGTGAGCTAAGGGAAGTCATTTATGAAGCCGACAACGCATTGACGGATTGCCTGATCAGTGAGGAAGAAAAGAAGAAAAAGAGGTTCTTCTCATGCTTGTTGCCTCTGGATCCGGTTTTCCCGCATGCGATGGGCAGGAGGTTGACGAAGATTAATTCTGATATGAAGAACGTGCACGACGTGTTGATCAACTATTTTAGTGCATCAGCTGCTGCACCAGATAGTAGTATCAGCCAACAAATCAGCAGCAGCTGGCGAATTGTTGGTTCACTAAACCCACATAAGACATATGGATTGGATGAGGACATAGAAAAGTTGAAAGGGTGGATACTTAATGACGACGAGAAGGAACCAGCAATGAACTACATTGGCATTGTGGGGATGGGGGGCTTGGGCAAAACCACCCTTGCTCAACAACTCTTTAACGATTCTCAAATCTTGGATCACTTTGAAAAGACAATGTGGGTCTGTGTTTCAGGAAATTTCTGCGAGCAGTGGATCCTGAAGAAGTTACTCAACAAAGTTAATGAAGAAACGTCTTCCTTGGATAGTGATGAAATTTTGCGCAGACTCATCACTGTCCTTAACGGTAAATCCTATCTCATTGTCCTGGATGATGTGTGGCCTTACAAAAACAAATCAGATTGGTTGAAAGACCTGTGCTCCCAGCTACCAACATCAGTTGGTAAATCCAGCTGCATCATTATTACCACCAGGATTGAAGACGTTGCCCAAAAAATGGTTCTTAGAAACACACAAATTCATCACCATAAACCTCTAGAGAACGAAGACAGCTGGGATTTATTCAGTGAATATGCATTTCGAAAAAGCAATGGAAAATGCCCTAGTGAGCATTATAAAGATGTCTCAGTGCATATCTTGAAGAAATGTGGTGGCCTTCCTCTGGCAATAAAGACTTTAGGAAGCTTATTGTCTGAGAAGGTTGGTTCTCCTTCAGAATGGACAGACATTTCGGACAAATTCCATGAACTCACAAAAAAAGGAAAAACTGACTCTGTCATCGACTCTCTGCAGTTAAGCTATGATGAACTTCCGCATACCAGTCTCAAGCAATGCCTATTGTGTCTCTCCATTTATCCTGAAGACTTTGAGATAGATGCGGAACAGTTAATTCACTGGTGGATTGGGGAGGGCATCGTCCGGGAAAAGGGCTCAACAACAGCTATAGAATTGGGATTTGAATATCTCGCAGAATTAGTGAACAGAAGCCTGCTGGAAGTAGTGGATCGGCGATGGTACGATGGGAAAGTTTATAAGTGCAAGATACACGATATGGTGCGGGAGGTAATTATCAAGATTGCGGGAGAGGAGGCATTTTGCATCTTCAATGAGCAAGGAAAGCTAATGCAGAAACATGAGCAAAATGAGCAAAAGCCACGATGGTTCCGTATCAGCGAAGACATGGATGATGACGAGAAGGAACTAGAAGATAATCCAAAGTTGAGGACATTTTTTCTCATGTCAAGCCCTCCTAATAACTTTGGCAAGAATTTTAGGTTCCTGGAGTCCCTCAGGGTGTTGGACTTGTCGTACTCTAAAGTTGTCGAAGATAGCAGCAGCCCGTCTCCAGGTAGAACGCACTTTAAATTCTTCATCATGCTTTCTAATTTCGATCTATTGAGTGTGTACACTTGTGTATGTGATGTTTGTGCATAAAAAATGATTATCACACGCGTCTTTTCTTCCTTTATGCACACCTACTTTATTTACGACCTTTGGATATAATAAATCAAAGGAAAAAATAAACACGAGTGTGTATAATAAGAAGAGACGTGTAGAAATCATTTTCCACAAACAAAAACAAAAAACGAAACAAAACAAAATATTCCGTCTCACGTGTCACATGTTTTATTTAACAGTGACGTGCGCTGAGGATCTCTTCAGCTATATCAGTTCTCTCAAACGCTTAGCATGTCTAAACTTGAGTGGAACTCAGATACGGGAAGTCACATCTTCAATTCAGAAACTGCTTAACCTCCAGCTTTTGGTGTTGAAAGGATGCAAAAAGCTAGTCAAAATACACCCATCAATCAAATATTTGAAGAGGCTCATTGTCTTGGACCTTGGAGATTGTCCCCTTGATTGCCTACCCAAGGGTCTAGGGAGCCTCCGTCTTCTACAAGAACTCACCGGATTCAAGGTGGTGAATCCGGCCAAAACACAAGGTTGCGCCCTTCGTGAGCTCAAAGAACTAAAGGAGCTAAGAGTTCTTCGAATTGTCCTAAGTGCTGACGCTGAAATCTCCCAAGATGAAATAGGCATCCTATCAAGCCTCAGGTTTCTCAAGGTTCTTACCATTGATGCTGAAGAATGTAAAGAAAATAAAACTTTGAGTGAGTTAGACAATCTTCAGATGCCTCCAAATCTCAGGGAGCTGTATGTAAGGAATTATCATTCCAAAACAATGCCCAACTGGTTTCATCCTGCCAAGCTTTCTAGATTGCAGTATCTCTGTGTCGAGAATTGTGACATTGTGAGACTGACCAGTGATCAGTCCACTTGGAAAAATGTTGAGGGTTTGTGTTTGAAGTTTCTGGGCTTTGAGGAAGATTGGGAGAACTTGAGGAAAATTTTGCCTGCACTTAGCTACATGGAGATTAGCAGTTGTTTCAAGTTCAAAAATTTTCCCTGCTCGGTTGACCAGCGAGGAGTTTGGACAAAAGCAAAGTTGATCAGTATGGAGTGATCAATAAGAGCCCAGAAAATCACCATCTCCATGGAAGCCTCCGATCATTGGTTTATCTTGGTTACTCTAGCCTTGAACTTCGTGTGCGAGTTATATATTGGTGTGCTGTTAAAACTTAAATTTGCTTGGGATGTAATGTTTTATTAGAGATGATGTGGTGATGTGATCTTGTATAATAAGCAAAAATGTATATGCATACATATTCACTCATGTTTATAAGGTTGACCATCGTGGAGTTCATATATAAAATGTAATTTAAAGTTGTGTTTTGAATTCATATAGGTATCTCACAGTCACTAATTCACATATGAAAGTGATCATAAGACTATCGCTAATGAAATATGTTCTAATTTTTTTTATGCCCTAGAATTTTGCGAGACACCGAAACATTTCTGAACTTTCAAGTCATTAAACTGGTTCACTTGTCTTAAATACATAAGCTCCTGCAATAGCCAAAACACAATAGTTACTTGTGAACACAACACCATGTAATGAAGATGAAAATTGATCAAAATTGAAGTGAGCTAAATAATGAAGAGAAAAGGAAAGTTACCGAGAGTGGGCATCAAAAGGGACAACACAGCAATCCCAACAATCTTCAATGGCAAGCCAATCTTGATCATATCTTGGATTTCAATGCGGCCAGTGGCAAATCCTACGGTATTTGAAGGAGTTGCCGTAGGAAGCAAGAAAGCAAATTGTGCTCCAATGCCACCCGGAATCATCAGAAGGAGAGGATGCACATGCATATTTCTGGCAATTTGAATTAGGAGAGGAATAATAAGCGTGGTTGTCGCATTGTTTGATGTGATCAACTCAGTGATGGAACTACTTATGAGACACACAGCAGGTGCAATGGCAACATATGGGACTGCCTCCAAAAAATCTAGGGTTTCAGATAATATATTAGCAAGGCCACTGGATCGAACTCCGTCAGCTATGGCTAAACCAGCACCTAGTAACAATATGATATTCCAGGGTAGCTTCTTGCATTTTTCCCAGTCCATCAACTTCTCACCCTTTTCCTTTTTGCTTGGAAATATGAACAAAAATGTTGCAACCATAACCTACAAACATTTCAAGTCACACTTGAAAATTTGATCCAACGGAAAGGTCTGTTTGTAAGGCTATTTCGTGTTTAAAGTTAGAACACATAAGAAGAAAGGTCCATACTCACACTGACAGTTCCATCTCCGGCACGCCCGTTGAAGAGGACTCCCCAGCCCGGAATATCCTCCGTTATGCTTCTTGTCATCCACAAAACAATCAGCATCTGCAGAAAATGCTAGTCATAATAATTGGAGGACACATCCATACTAAAAAACTATGCGAAACTGAGTACTTGGGGACGCACCGAAAACAAAGCCAGTACCATCTTCTCAGCAAAAGCCATTGGACCTGCCGGTTGCCGCATCAACACTTGTAAGTTGATTTGGAAATACAATTACACAGAAGGTGTTCTCTAGTGCCTAAGATTGGATACTGAACATTGGGCCAAAAGCCGAAAAGAACATGACTAATACGGTGATACCATGTGTTACCTATTTTATTATGGCATTTGGGGTATTCACAACAATTGCCATAAAAAAGAGTAATTTTTTCGAAATTGTTTTTGTAAGAAACACTTTTTCTCATCAACGTTTTAATATCAGTACTTTCATGAGAAACACGTTGATTTTTTATTAAAAGTCCTACTCCCTCAAAAACACATTTGAACTTTTTTTGTCTAATTTAGTTAGAAGCAATTTTAGTTGTCAAAAAATTCACACACGACAATGTGTGATTGATTTATGATACACCACAATTCGATGCTGATTGTATGTAAGTTGCTCTAAGTTTGAGGGCTCCTACCTAGCAATTCGAGCTCCTTCTTCAAATGGGCTTTGTCTAAATAAACAGAGAGAGCCTGGCCTGAACTCCTTGAGCAATACAAGTAGCAAAGCAAAGCCCACAGCGCCAAGAACATCAACAATGCCGAAGGGAAGGCGAAACAGAACCAGGTGCTGAAGGTGATCGGAGCTGCTTGTGGGAAATAGCTCTTCCACATTCCAACCAATATGAGATTGACACCTGTCCCCGTCAGAGTGCTCATCCCTCCTATGGTTATGGAGTACAACATCCCCAGAATCACGGCTTTGCAAAAGTTGCTCGCAACCACGGACTGGTCGGGACCCGTTGGAAACCGCCGGAGAATGCCGGTGGCTACGGGCATCATCATCACCGCAGTTGCCACGTTGTGCATCCACATGCTGATGAATGCTGCGGTCCCACATATTCCCAGCAGCAGCAATGGCGGATTCAAGGGATCTCCGCAGAACACCAGGGTTATCTGTGTTCGGGATAAAAAAAGGGTTAACTAGTAATACTAGGTAAATCAACTTGTCCAATTTGTAAGTGTTCCACCAATACGTGAATCAATATTTAAGTAAGAACAATTTGTAGACTAAATTTTGTAAATTAAATGACATGTAAGTTGATGATTGAATTATTACTTAATTATTGATAACTCATTTTTATTAGTGATAGATCATTTGATTTGCTAATTTAGTTTACAAATTGAGTTTCCATAGCATTACTTTTTAAGTAATAATCAAACGTCGAGAGATTTTTCTGTGTGCTGCAAACACTGCCCAACAAACCAAGTGTAATAATACACTTTGTTGGAAACTTGAAAAAAGAAAATCCAACCAATTTTATTATAACACTTGGTGTACCGAGTCGTATTTCCGGCACATTAAAATTTTTCTCTCAATCATCAACAACCACACCATATAGCCTCCAAAATTTAGCTTAAATAAATTGTCTCTTTAGCATTACCATAAATTATTTTTGTACTTGAAGTCCAAAGTTCGATTCTTCTTCATTAGTATCGCTTGAATCCCAAAACAAAATTATTTTGAAAACCCTAAGCGGATAGTGTGCGACAGGGTTCGAGCACAATGTGGCTCTCACCCTAGTAGGGTTCAGACACTAAGGCACTCAATTCTCAAGTTGTGACATATATTAATGTTGTCGAAAATATATTTATGTTTGCTTTATTGACGTCAATAATATTCTGTGAACGATGTATCACATAAATGGGTTAATATGAGAAAACAACAATGAAAAGAGGACTCACATTCAAGGCCAATCTTTTGTGTATGTTATACTGCTCAACGGCGAGAGCCAAAATAAAGCTTCCAAGAACAAGGGCAATAACATCGTTCATGTAAGAGTGGGCAACATCATCTGCAGAGGTAATTCCGAAGAGCGGGAAGAGGAAGAGAGGGGCCATTGAGGTAACTGGCATCGGCACGGCCTCTGTGAGCCACCAAGCAAACACCCAGGCAAGCACTGCCAACATATTCCGGCTAGCGATGGTGCCATCTAAGTTGACACAGAGGCAAATAACGGTGCTCAAAAGAGGACCCAGGAGGATGGACAAGTTCTTGGATGTTAGAATGGATTCCAGTGAAGAAGGGTAGTTGATTTGTGAGTTATGGTTTGGATTTGGATCATCAAGTGGGAGAAGTGGGATTTTGGGGTCATTGGAGGGAGGACTATCCATTTGATTCTTGTTGATTTTGGAATGAAATGTATGAGAATTCAAATTCACGTTTCCTTTCTAACGTTACATTTACCATGGATTAGGGAAGCGTCATTGACGCTCCTCTCTTGCATTTCCGTATTCTTGGACAAAAGTGCATTAATTTAGGAAGAAAAAATAGTCAGATATATTTTTTGCAATATTTAGAATTTCGATAGGATATTATATAAAGAAAATTAATGAAAATAACTTTAAAACTTTGAGTTTGAACAATAAAAACAAAATAATGGGTAAAGTAAATAGTATCATAATTGACATTTTAATGTAAAAATGTAGTTTTTCGTTAAAATGAACAGTATTACGGACTTTTCGTTAAAACTCCTTATTATTATATCTATGGGATTAGTTAGTGAACTAACTAGTAAATGACAGATTTCTCAAATCTAATCCAATGAATTTCCGGACAAACCAAATTTAAAATTATTATATGTAATATAATATGGCTGCAATAGCTTTCTACCAAACAAGGAATGCAAACATAACAGAGGGAAATTGTGAATGAAGAGAGAAGTAAAATGTTTGCCATTTGGTCCCTTTCTTTCTTTTTCTCATGTATCTGTGCGCTTGTACTAAAATAACCATTAAGCATAACAATCATAGCATAAATAACCATTAAGGTGATCCATCTTAGCAGAGAAACATAGTAGCTAGAGAAACTCACATTCAAGGCCAATCTTCTGTGGATGTTGTAATGCTCAACAGCAAGAGCCAATATAAAGCTTCCAAGAAGAAGGGCAATAACATCATCCATGTAAGAGTGGGCAACATCATCTGCAGAGGCAATTCCGAAGAGAGGGAAGAGAAAGAGTGGGGACATGGAGGTAATTGGCATGGGCACGGCCTCCGTGAGCCACCAAGCAAACACCCACACCAGCACCGCCAACATGTTCCGGCTGGCCACCGGGCCATCTAGCTTCACACAGAGGCATATAATGGTGCACAGAAGAGGTCCGAGGAGGACGAAGAAGTTCTTGAGTGTTAGAATTGATTTCAAGGATGAATGGAAGCTCTGCGACCGTTGGATTTGATCGTGGAGAGGGAGAAGTGGAGTTTTGGGGTCTTCGGATATTGGATGATTATCCATGCTATTGATGTTGGATTGGATGACGGAAATCACTTGGTTATATAATGCGAGGAAATGGTGCTTTTATATTTGGTTTTGTATACAAAGAAGTAAGGCTTTTCTATCTAGTTATGCATACAAGGAAGTAAGGTTAATTGGTGGGCCGATATAGTGTGTCCGTCTTTTTGTCTTTGAGTTTGAGTCTTTTTGTTTTTATAGAGTAATGCCATTTAGACTTACAAATGGTTCATGTTACTGATACACACTCTAATACAAATAAATTTTTTAAATTAAAGTGTTTTAAAATATCGTTTCTTAAAACATATAACATGGTAGATAAATTTATCTTTTAATTTTTTTTTTTTGGAAGCAATTTATCTTTCTTTTTATATATAATGTCACACGTAAGTATTGTAGATCATATTTGTATGAGCTTTGAATAATATAACTTGTGTGTTAGAAGTTTTTGACTCATTCATCACTAAAGTAGTAGTAAACAAGTTTGGCTTTCATTTTGATATTGCTAATTAAATTGGACATTGCTACTTATTGTCATTTATTCGCTAAGAGTTAGCAAAATTTTTATCCAAGAACA